CTGCGACTTGTTTGGCCCCACCAGCCACTTGGAAGCCAATCACGCCGAGCGCGGGGCTCCTGGCTGCTGCAAAAGTCTAATTAGATCCAATCGGCGCGGTCTCCTGGCTCTGACATCAGCGGCACCATCGCTAACACAAAACACCCCCCCTCTACACACATACACACACACACACACACACACACACGGGGGGCGGGGGCGCGCGCGGCAAGAATCAAACCGCCGCCCCCCTCCGCGTCTCCAAACCATCCCCTTCCTCTGTCAGCTTGCAAACTCAGCTCCTCATTCGAGCTAACGGAGATCTGATAGGAGGAGGACGACCGGGGGGGAAGAGATAGATAGACAGATAGAGAGACTTCTTTTTAGTTATAGAAAATGCAGTGAAACTCACCGCTGGAGTGGTTGAAGATCGAGCCAAACCCGAAAAGGGCAGTTCTTTTTAGACGATTCTCCACCTCCTTCTCGTCATTCCGGATTCGGAGCGCTTTTCAGAGCTGCAGTTTGTCCCGGGGACTTTCGGGGACCTGGTCCCGGGCTAATAATGGGCGTGTAGTTTTACAAAGTGAAAGAAAAGTGCAGAAGATTTACTCCACTGTACAAGGACTCAGATCTGTAGCCCTAGAAAGAGGGTGCGACCTCTTCCTACCCCCCCTCCCCATTACCTAACCTTGTTTATTCTATGCAAGCTCCGACGTATCCTTGATGCCTTCGAAGCCGCTCCGAATTCAATGAACGGCTCTCGCACGGAAAGGTGGTTGCAAAACACTGCAATCTTTTCTTACTCTGCAGGTGTTCCATCATCATTATCATCATCATCATCCCTGGTCATGTTTACTCCGATGTCCCACCTACTCCCACATAGGTTTATAGTGGATGGTACTAAAAAAAATGAAGGCCTCCTCCAATTTGCCCTGGTGTTTATTCCACTCCGTGTTGACTTCAAAGTAAGTCCACTGCCTTTAAAGAAAAGTTTACATCCCTGGTTTCTGGGCACCAAGGAATTCTAATGCCAGTTGCCCCTTTTCTTTGGCTTGACACAAGGAATGAAGGGAAAGTGTGCAGAAAGGAGGGCTTGCTTTCTAGTGTCATCTACAAAAAAGAAGGTGGAGGCACCTTTATTTTTAGGAGCTGGATGGATTTCAGCCAGTTTTCCTTGTCTTGCTGGAGTACGGAAGGCACCACCTGCCAAAATCCCCTTTCCAATGACACCAGTAAAGATTCAGGAGTACCATCTTTCATGTTTGGTACTCAGGTGCATAGATGCCCAGTCTAAGGTTACTGATTTTTAATAGTAGCACAGACTTCCCTGGATGTCCTCACAGCCACACAATTTCAGGAGTTGACTTCTTCAATCCCTGTGCATTCTGAGTTAATAAGAAACACAACAAAACTGCCGTACCTTCAACATCTGAATGGAAGAAAGAAGGGGTTTTGGCAAGGTAAGCTGTCCTCTCTGCCTAACACAGAGGAATTTCTCTACTTCTCCACTACTTTGAAAAGGATGTGGGGTACAGAGTTTTCCTTTGCATTTCTAAGCAGCAAACCACATAGACCAGTCTTCCCCAGAGGTGCATCTCTCCAGATGTTTTGGACTGTAACTGGTCATCCCATGCCTATCTCTGGCTGACAGGAGCTGTTGCCTGAACCAGGGCCTCAGCTTGGGGTAGGCTGGTGGGAAACCCTAATAACACAAGCAAAGAAGAATGCGGACATTATTTTGCTTCTTTCAGCAGTTACAACCAATTGGATCTCACTTCACTGTTCTGAATGAGTGAACAGAAGGGAAATGCATATATAACGTGAGCTCTTTTAAAAAAGCACTTTAAAAAACTTGAGTATGGTTCTATCATCCACTGGAATTAGCTCATAAGATAATGTGATGTTGTTTTTTCATTTTGAGTTAGTTCTCAACAAATGTAGGGGGCAGAGAAATGAGGTAATAAACTGGGTTTAGGAAACAGTATCATGAGGTAACTGGTATACAGAGATTTAAGTGAGCCAAGACAGCAGGAAATAAAATAAGGGGGAGAAGCGAGAAACAGCTGTCTACAGAGAAACCCAGAAACCGTGAAATACAAAAGTAAGCAAAACAAAGGTTCGGCAGAACATTTAAGGGCGCTAGGGAGAACAAAATTAATTATCCCTCTTTAGCCTCTGTGCTACGCCACAACAAAGCATACATTTGGGTACAGTGGGACTTCTAGAGGTGAATCAAACTGAGCAGAAAAAATCCTTAAGCAAATTTTTGGAGCTCAAATCAGTTTGCGCTAAAAGAAACAACAAAAGCTCTCCTCCCTGCACACATTACTCTTTTATGGTGGACTTAGGAATTTCAGACAAGCAACAAGAGACAAAATCAACCCAGAGGTAAGTACATACTCATTTTATTAATTGCAACTCAAATAAGCCTAACTTTCTAATTACAACAAACTGGATTTACAAAGTGCTACACAATAGTTGGGTTGCAGCCAGGGATGGAAAAACATACTGCATTTAGCAAGCTGACGGATAAGTGCCAAAGATTCGATTATTTGTTTATCTGTATTCTATCTTAACCTGTTGTAATGACTGACTAAGCCTAAACTGTGACGGAAGAAAATAGTTACAGACATTCCGCTTCGGAAAACAAGGGTTTCAGAATGATTGTGGAACAGGTTGTGTGAATGGAGAAAAGGAAGGTTATCAGTTTTGTCGTGCAGAATGTAAAGAATAAAATAGTTTTCATGCCTTGTGAAGTCATCCCTCCTAGCAGGAAATATAAGAGTTAGGGCATCCAATGGTATCATTGAAAAGAGAGAGCAAAGCAGACAATGACTGAAAAAATAAGAAACCGAAGGGAACAGTAGGGGGAAGAAAGAGATGTTGCAGAAAACAAAAGAATAGAGGGTACATTGTATTCCATATATTGGTTTGTGTTTAAGGGTAAAACATTGTTTCTAGGGGATTAGCAGTAGTTGCAGTTTGAACAAAAAGCCAAGTGAATGTATTATTGGAAAACAAACACAATTTTTTTTCTAGAGTCATACCTAGTTTAACTGTTCTTTGAAGCAGATTTTTCAAGGCGATATTTTAAATTTTACTGCTTATAAAAACAAGCCTATTGTGAACAGTAGAAGTCTCTCCAATATTTTAATTTGTATAACATGCAGTTCAGTTCTATAGGAGTTTAAAGGTGTGGCTATAGCAGCTGCAGGGAGCAAGATAGTGTGGGCCACTTTGGAATGCTCATGCTTGCTTAGATTGTTCTAATCAACCCTGACTCTTCCAAAGCCAACATCGTGAAGTAGCTTAATAATCAAGCCACTTCCAGATATTGACAAATTAATCACTTCCCCTGCTCACAGAGGGCAGGGGAAGTGGGAAAATGTGTTTTTTTTCCTGTTTAAGACTATCACTGATGCGCTATGTCAGACGTAATTTAAAATAAAATCTTTTCCTTGCCTCACAAGGTTTCTCAACCAATAAGGCAAAGAAAAGATGTTTTAATTTGTTTTGTATCTGACATAGCACACTAGCAATACTCTTAAACAGATACACACACACACCTCTGTCTCTGTCTCTCTTTCTCAATTATTGAGCCACTTCATGGTATTGGCAAAGTGACACTGGAGCGATCTAGGTGATTACACATCAAGAAAACCACGTTTATATGAACCGATCCTAATAGGTTCAAATAAACAGTATATTCCAACTTTAGATGGGATAGTCCACATTAGGGATGGGTTGGAACATTCTAACAAAAATGTTGTGTAGCCAACTTTTTAAAAAAGCAATCCCAGTCATTCCAGAAGGGGGTCTACAGAATGTGATAAACTCCTGTGTTGCTGAGCTCTTACTTGCATTATTAATGGTGAATAAAGAATCCCTGATGTTTGTTATCCTGGATCAATGAAGCCCTATGGAGCAGGGCTTCTGTACTTTTAATTGTAGTATTGGAGAAATGGTTGCAGCAGGTATGCAAGCAGCACCTGCAAAAATTTCCTTTTCCACACACTATTAAAGGTGCAGAAGCTCTTGTCTTCACTTTGTTTCCACACCAGCAAAAGGTCCAGTTTCTTCATGCCACGTAATTTGTTGGAAGCAAAATGAAACATCTTTGTATTACGGCTTTATTATATACATCTAGGTGTTGCAGGATTTTTGCTTTTGCTAAAATAGAGTAGCATGGCTACTGCTTTTGAAACCCTTATAAAAGCAGAGAGGCCCCAGTGGATGCATGCTTACTTGGGAGGAAGTCCCACTGAGTATGGGATTTATGCCTGGGTAAACATGCATAAGGTTGCACTGCAGATTATGAGGAGCATTTTAAAGTACTTTACTACCCAGCATTTTATATAAGGGATATTATCAAAAGGAAAATACTGACACAAAGCCAAGAAAAAGTGAAGGGGGAGAAAATACTTTAAATTATTAATGCCCTGATTAATCTCTGCTCTGACAGCACTTGGCCTTATGAGAGCAGCATGGCCCTGTTTATTAGAACCCCTCTAATCTAAAAATAAATAAATAATCTGCTTTCAATCTAGGTTATCTCTCCTGCTGTGAAACAGTTTTACTTACTGTAACTTCCCCAGTTATTATGAACTTGGTATTTCAAGAACTCCTGTGACTCTGAAACTTTTTCTTGGTTGTGTATGACTTAACAACAACAAATTATATATTATATATATATAATTAAAACTTTCAGAATATAGGTACTCAGGTAGATTTGAGTTTATATTGTTTGCATGACTGCAGATGGATCTTGTC